AATGTTGGATCCTGTTTGTGTAACCATTCTGTTAGAATGTGTCTTTTCCTTATATTGTTGAGTCCATTGATGTTGGTAGATATTAAAAACCAAGGAATGTTAGTTCTTGTTATTGTGGAGTTGGTGCTGATAGTATGTTTGTGTGCTTGTGTTCTCTCAGATTTTTTGTGATGTCATCTACATCCTATGCTTCTTGGGTTTAGATTATCTCATTGGTTGGAATTTTCCTTCTAGTAGCTTCTCTAGGTCTGGATGCTGCAAAGATATTGTTTCAATTTAGTTTTGTCATGGAATATCTTGTTTCCTCCATCTGTGTTGACTGTAACTTTTTCTGGGTCAATTTTGCTGGCATCTGTGGTCTCTTAGTGTCTGCATGACATCCACTGAGGCTCTTCTGGCTTTCATAGTCTCTGTTGGGAAGTCTGGTGTGATTCTGATAGGCCTGCCTTTATATCTTAGTTGGCCTTTTTCCTTGCTGCTTTTATTTATTTTTTTCATTGGGGAGATTTAGTGTTTTGATTATTATGTTGCACAAGTATTTTCTTGTCTGGTCTAGAATATGTGGTATTCTGTAAGCCGCTTTTATGCTTAAGGCTATCTCTTTCTTAAGGTTGGTGAAACTTCTATGATTTTATTGAAAATAGATTCTGGGCCTTGGAGCCTGCAATATCTGTTTATTTTTTGCTATTATTCTTAGGTTTCATCTTTTCATGGTGTCCTGGATGTCTTGAATGTTTTGCATCAGAAACTATACTTTTTCTTTCCTTTGAGAGATTTACCAGTTACTTCAACTACATCCTCAATGCCTGGGATTCTCTCCCCAATTTTTTGTATTTTGTTGGTGATGCTTATCTCTATGGTACTTTTCTAAGTGTTCCATCCCCAGTTTTCTTTGTGGTTTCTTTATTAATTCTAATTTTCTAAGGTCATGAATAATTGTATTTCCTTCACCTGTTTGATTGTGGTTTCCTGTCTATGATGGCCTCTCTTTTGTTGTATTTGCCTGTATTTCTTTGAGAGATTAGTTGTTTTCCTCTTCATATGCCACAAATAGTTGAATAAGCAGAGATTTAAGGTCATTTTCTTGTGTTACACCTACATTAGTATATCCATTGTTTTGGTGGAGCCATGGTGTCCTGATTTTTGTTGGCTGTTATTTTATGTTAGACTTTTGCCATGTGGTTTTCTGTAGCCTTAGCTGTTTGTTCCTGGAACCTGCACCAAAGACTGGACCAGCCTGTCTTTGGAGTCTAGTGTAGCATTCAGAAAGATGAGGAATGTGCAGTGGCTCAAGAATGGGTGCTGGCAATTCAGATGCCAGTGTCTTGAAAGGCAGTGAACAGGCCAGGTACTGAGCAAAAAAAAAAAACAGATGGGGGCAAGTGAATTGAAGGTCATGGAGTGTGCATGCATGAGAGCCCCGATGTTTGGGGTGCAGGTGCTGCTGCTGGTCATGAACACTGAGCATATGCAAGTGCCCAAAGGGCTCCAGACCAAGGTGACAACAGTGGGGGTTAATCAGAAGAAAGTTGGGCTGCAGCTTATAGGCCTGCCTAAAACTGTGTATACAGATTCCTCTCTGCTCTGCCATATTGGATCTGGTATCCCTGTATTTCTCTTGTTCTTATGGTGTCCATAGGTTAACCAGAGAAACTGTGGCTTGGTGGCTGGGATGCTGTCCCAGTAATCCTGATGTTGACCTCAGGGGAGCAGAAGGGATCTGAGGTCTGGTTGCTATAGCTAAGAGACCCTGGGGGTCCAAACTCACTGGAGTATGTGGAAGAGCAGGCTGCCCATAGTTTGCTACCCCTGGACCTGCTCAATGGACTTTGGGACTCTGATCCTCTACCCTTCGGTTATGGTGCACTCTGATCTCCAACATATTGAAGTCTCCTTTTGTAATCTTTCAGCCTTCTTTAATTTCTTTTTCTTTCTTTCTTTTTTTTTTCTTTTTTTTTTTCTTTTTTTGGTAAGATGCTTTTGTGAGCATTTGAATTTCCTCATGGGACTGTTTAGGTCTATTTAGGCTGTTGAATAAAAGTTGAATACATGTTTAAATCATGGTTGCTTGGGCAAATCTAAAACTTACCCATTTCATGTGCATTTTAAGCACTCTCCTATATATATATATTTTTTAAATCTTCCCTTAAAATATTCTGAATTTCTTTGGATTCCATTTTTCTGTCACTTCTGATTCTACTAATTTGAGTCCTCTATTTCTTTCTTTGATTTACTTGAGACAAGGGTCTGTCAATTTTCTCTTCAGAAAGAACCAGCTCTTCCTTTAGTTAACTCTATACATTTTCTTTGTTTCTGTTTCATTCATTTCTATTACAATTTTACTATTTCTTTTTAATGGATTATTAACTAATTTGTTTATGTACTACTGCAGCATCTAATCACACTTTTCCTCCTAGTCCCCCTCTGTCACCTCACCTGCCAACCCATGTGCCCTTCTTCTCTTTCTTTTCAGAAAAAAGAAGCCTCCCTTGGATATCAACCAGCCTTGGCATATAAAGTTGCAATAAGACTATGCACAAATTCTGCTATTGAGGCTATACAAGGCAGTCTAATTATGGAAAAGGAATCCAATGGCAGGCAAAAGGGTCAGAGACAGTTTTGATCTTGCTGATAGGTGCCCTCATGAAGACCAAGCTGCACAATTGTTATACATGTGCTCTTAGAAGTCCCACATGAGGACCAAGTTGCACAACTATTACATATGTGCAGAGAGCACAGATCTGTCCCATGCATGCTTTCTTGTTGGCAGTTCATTCTCTGTGAGCCTGCACCAGGAGCCTTTCTGTGGGGCCATCTTCAGCATAGAAAAGAGAGTTGGAGTATGTTTGCAAACAGGGTGCTCCACAGAGTAGATGAGGGGTCAGTAAGGGAAGGCAGTGAGTCAGGTGCAGTGGTCAGGGGAATCTCTCAGTTGACATTTAAAATTCAGACATTTCTGTAGCTCTGGTTTACTATTAACAACGTGCTTCTTTATTTATACAAGTTTCACAGTTCAAACACAGACTAATGATTATATAAGTGGTACAGAGTGGGTGTTTGATTTTTTTCATTACTCATCCAGGGTTACAAGTACAGCAACAATTAAAAAATACAAACGAAAAAGATATTATTAGCCTTATGACTCTACTTTAAGGAATCTAAAAATGTCTCCTGCAAAGAAAACATCTTTAATGTATGACAGTTTACTTTTAGACTGACAGTGTTTGTAGTATGGTTGCAGTCCAGAAAAACAGAAAATACTTTAATAGTTCTTTGTATGAATAGGAAATACTAATAAATAACTCCTTTTACTATATATATCATCATCTATGCTATTAAGTAGAAAAAGTTTATTTTAGTCAATCTATCCTATTTACTGAGTTTTATTCCATCAAGAGTGTATCCTATGACCTCCTATCTTTATACTACATTTTTCAGGGAGCTCTAAACATATAATGAAAGGACATCTTAAATCTTGAATCTCCTGGCCTCTCAGGGTTTGCATAATGCCTTGTTTACTCCACACCAAAGTACTGTTTAGGGAGAGATACCCCAAGAAAACTTCTGAAATAACGGCCTCATCTCTAATCTGCTTATCTGTGTTTAATGATGTCCCAGGCAGAAAGAAGATTTCCAAACAATGGACACATAAAGTTAAGTTTTGGATTTTGATAAAAAGACTCAGACATAAATTTTTGTAGAAAAAATAAAAAAAAAAAAAACAAATGGAAGGGTAGTGCAGAAAGTCCCTAGTAAGGAAACACACAGGAAAAGTTAGAACAAGTGATTTTAACAATCTGCTCAGCTTTGCTGGAATTCCATCAAGCAAAGTGGATGACTCTCACCAACTCCAGTGAATATTACTGTGCAATTTTCCCTTTTCTGATGTAATGATTTAAATATTTATTGACTTCTTTTGTGACAGTTAGGGCATTTTTTTTAGTCTTCAGAGGATGACTAGAAGAACAACTGTGAAAATTAGAACACTTCCTAGTATTTCTTCATAATTATAATGAAAGGACAAAGAATCCTGTCCTGAGTCAACTAATGCCAAAGACTGTAGAAATTTATTTGCAACTTCTACAGCGGAGATAGGTACTGGTTGATCTGAACTTAGAGCTGAAATTTGTTGTTGCAAGTGTTGTATGCTTACCTCCAAATCAGAGTTGTTTCATAGGCCATGGATGTGTTATCTAACTTATTCGCATGTTACTTTGGGAAAATATATAGAATTAAGGTAATAAATATCTATGGAAACTGTGGGTAACAAGAAAAAAATGAGAAGAATGCATGATAGATGAATCAGGGAAGTGCATTTGGATACACTGATGTGATCAAAACACTATACTTAGTAATTTAAATCACTTCATTTAAAAAAACTTGGATTACTTGACAGTTTTACTCTCTCTGAATATGAGTAATGTAGATTTCACTTTAATTGCCTTAGACAAACAGTTATAAACACTTAAACAAAACTTATTATTAAGTATCAAGGAAAACAATAGAGTTGGAATTTATAAACAGTTCATGATCTTGGCACTATCATGAAGCAGAATATGCCAGGCTATACAAATCATTGAAAAGAACTCTTATAAATTAAAGGTGCAATGTGCAAATACATGTATAAGCTGAAATATTGATTCACTTCCTCCACACAGATCAGCAGGAGTGCATTCCTTGCCTAAGTCAAGACTACCCAAACCCTGAGAGAAACCAGTGTGTACCCAAGGCAGTGACCTTCCTATCCTTTGAGGATCCTCTGGGCATGGCTCTGGCCTGCACAGCTCTGTGCTTATCTGTCAGCACATTTATAGTTTTGGGGATCTTCCTGAAACACCGAGAATCAGCCATTGTTAAGGCCAATAACAAGACTCTCAGCTATATCCTGCTCATCTCCATCCTCCTCTGCTTCTTTTGCTCCTTTTTCTTCATTGGACGCCCAAACACTATCTCCTGCATACTTCAACAAATAACATTTGCACTTGTGTTCACCTTGGCTATTTCCACTGTTCTGGCAAAAACTATAACTGTAATTCTGGCCTTTAGAGTCATGAAACCAGGGAGAACAATGAGAAGGATATTTCTCTTAGGCATCTATAAAGCTGTCATCCCCGTCTGCGTCCTGATTCAACTTATTCTCTCTGGAGTCTGGCTGGGAACCTCACCTCCCTATATTGACACAGATGTACATTCTGAACATGCTCATGTCATCATTTTATGCAACAAGGGCTCAGTTACTGCTTTCTACTCTGTGCTGGCATACTTAGGAACCCTGGCCCTAGGGAGCTTCACTGTGGCTTTCCTGGTGAGGAACCTGCCTGACACATTCAATGAGGCCAAGTTCCTGACATTCAGCATGCTGGTGTTCTGCAGTGTCTGGGTCACCTTCATCCCTGTCTACCAGAGTACCAAGGGCAAGGCCATGGTGGCTGTGGAGGTCTTCTCCATCCTGGCCTCTAGTGCAGGGCTGCTGGGGTGCATCTTTTTCCCAAAATGCTACGTTATTCTCCTAAGACCTGATAAAAACTCTTTGAGATGTTTGAAAAACAAAATATAGCAAATAAAAATTGATGATTTTGATATATTAGTTTTCTAATAAAACCCATTAGTATTGTAAAATTAAATCATTTACCTACTTTAAAGTAGCTTTTTATGAAATGTGTATTTAAAGAAAAATAAGAGCCCCTCACTTTGTTTCCCAATCAGACATTTTATTTCAGAATAGGAGCTGCTGTTAAAAACATATTTTAGTAAGTTATGCATGTTATTTATTAATTTGTGCACAATATATATATTTGAAATGTAATTATATGATAGAAATTGATATAAATAGTACATGAACTAAATACTTGTTCTCTTTGTTATTTTTGGGACTATAACAGGGTTTTGGGTGGTATATGAGATTCTTCTACAGAACAGACATGAAAATCGATCTCTGGAAAGGGGGGTGTCTTTTAAACAGGTTGAGTCATTCCAGAAATCAGAGTAGAGAATTTTCTAAAAGGAAAAAATTAATCTGCTGCCTGACTCTGCTCTCTTTTTGTTGACATATGTAAAAATGACTCCACATCCCACTCTACAAATACTTGCTCAGTCACCTTCATTGCAGGCTTTTGATAATAATAAGTGAATAACGGGTGTTGATTTTCTTCTGGCTATGTCCTGCTGATACTGGGGTCTCTGTAGGTAGGTCAAAAGGCTGAAACTCTGGTCAAGTCCAGGAAGAACAGGCTGTTTTGATGCTTCTCAGGGTCTGTGAGAACATCTATGGCTGGGAGAAAAACTGCAAGTCCAGCTTGAGGAAGTCTGTGTGGTCAGACTGGAAAACTTGTGGTAGCTGCCTTGGTGCTGTTGTGGATCTAAGAAACACCTGCATCTGGCAGAATACTGAAATATATATATATACCAAAGAAAAAGTTAAGTAGGTTATGTAGAAAATTTATTCAGGTGTACATTTAAAACTTTTGAGAGAGAGAACAGAGTTGGAAACTTTGGGTCAAAGAGACTTGAACATGGGAACCTCCATTAAATTTAGGACACCTCCATTTACCAAATCATTGGCTGTAATTAAGAAGGCTCTGCTTTGGATCTGTCATCTAAGGAAATTGAAGCCAAGTTTGGTTACAGAAGTGTGTAAGCTTAGAGGCCATTAAAGTGGGCACTAGGTGTAGAAATCTTAAGTTCTCCAGAAGACATTCCAGAGGAGATTCCAGAGGAGCAGACAAATGGACTATTCCCATTGGGCAGGTAGAAGTCAGTGGCTCTGAAGGCATGCAAAGAGCAAGGTTTGAGTGGAGTAGTATGTACAATCTGTTCCAACAGCTGGTCAGCAGTGGCCAGAGATCAAGGACACAGCTTCCCATAGCAGATATGGTTTACATAGCTAGGATTTTTATATACAAGAAAGAGGGGGTTGGAGAGAAATCGTGCCAGTAGAAGGAAAGCTTTAAACAAAGGGAGAAGGAGGTCCTAGGTAAAGGGTTTGGTTGTAGGTTGGTGAGAATGGTAGAGATCATTTGCCTCAAGCAGAAATGAAGACTCACCAATCAGCTGGTGTTGGATGCAGACATGCAGCAATCAGGTAGCCAGGAAATGGAAGTGCCAAAACCAGGGAGAGTGGAGGAATCCCACCCTCTGAGATAGATAATAAGTGCAGTCATTACCTGGAGCCCAATTGACCTGAGAGGTGGGTTCAGGTGGATAACCTACAGTTTGCAAGTATTACTTTTAAGTTTTATGAAGGAGATAAAACTTTAGACATGTTAGCATCACAAATGTAATCTGCACTGAAATAAAACTTGTAAAAATGGAAAAGACATACACATTTGTGTTAACAGCATAAGCATTATTTAAAGTGAGCTCTGAAAAAGCAGAAACCTTTTGTGAAGTAGAAGAGACAAAAGCTCATTTGATGTTAAACATGGAGATTTAAAATATTGAGCTTGGAGGAGGGGCAGAGCCAAGATGGCGACTAGCACACACAGTTTCCGAGCTGTGGAAGAGATAAAGTTCTGAGTTGATGAGTGGAAGAACTTCTGAAGCCAGGGAAACAACGGAGAGACTTTCTAAACAACAGGGAACATCGCAGGAGGTGAAAACCTTGGTCTCAGGTCACCCAGGGACTTGTTTGGGGAAGGTGAGAAACGATCCTTTGATCTCTCGGCACTCCACTCCCCTCCCCCAGACCTCCCTCCTCCTCAGCACAGCGGACTCGCCTTTCTCAGCGCAGACCTAACTGCCTGGGGCCTGCAGCCACTGAGGCGGAGCCCCAAGCCCTTTATCGGCAAAGGCCAGCAGTACTGTGTCTCGGAGCCCCAGATTCACGCACGGCGGCTGCACCATCCTCCCAGGGCCCGAGTCTGCTAGATGCCATACTAGCTCCGCAGGAGCGCCATCACTGACGGTACGGCCTGCCCAGTCCCACAGTGACAGAGAATACGCTATATACTCACCAAAACCAGACAGAAACGCCATACAAGCTAGACACACCAGGCGCTGGGCCTCCGAAGCTTGGAGAGCACAGTAAAGAGACCTCAGGACTTCCCAGAAAGCATCTGGACTAGCAACCCAGTCTCCAGTTACAGCGGGACTTTCTAACCTGGCGGCGGAGCAGCACTGAGCTGGCGGGGCACATCAGCCCTCCAGTTTAAGACTAACCAGGGCCAAACCAGAGAACAGAAAGGCTGGTTACCCCGATTCCCACTGACGTTACCACCCTGAAATCTCCAGCTGCAGCAAGACCTCATAACCTGGCAGTGACAGCAGCACGGAACTGGCGGAGCACATCAAAGAAGCAGGGCCAAACCAGAGAGCAGAGAGCCCAGATACGCCGATCTCTGCCAAGTGTCCTGCCTGTAAGTGAGTGCACCCTTGAGAATCTGCAGCTCCACTGATCCTGGGTCCTTCTAAAACAGAAGCCAGGCATCGAACCCCCTCCCACCCATATACCCACTTTGGGAAACAGAGGAGCACTTGGAACATTGAAGTTCCTGCTCTGTGGGTCTAATTGAGGAGTTAAGGAAGTTAATGCCAGAAATTGCGCTGCGATCATCACTAGCGCCCGCGACATATACATTGCAGAGCCCCTCCCACACAATCAAGGGTCCAACATTAGCCATCACTCTGTCCCTCGAGACACACGCCCACACCCACTTACACACACACACACATATACACACGCACGCACGCACGCTTGCATTTGCCTCTGTTTGCGCCTGTGTACTTTCCTCCCACAGGTACAGCTAGTCCTCAGCATACGCTAAGGACACGGGACCTCTCTCAACTTCCTGAAGAATTCTCCAGACTCGAGAGAGAGACAGTACCAGTCTGATCGGCAGAATCCAAAAACAAACAGGGAAGGTCTCAAATAAGCCAATGGCCAGGGGTAGGCGAAAGAACACCTCCAACATAAATCAGGACATCATGACTTCACCAGCAAACCCCAAAATCGATGGATACTCCAATTCATCAGAAGCATAGGAAAATGACCTTAAAGCCATGCTTGCTCAATTATTTGAGGCTCATAAGGAGGAAATGAACAAATCTTTCAAAGAGTTGGCCAGTCAATTGGAGGTAAAGAAAGAAGAAATAGACAAAACCCTTAAAGAAACACAGGCAAACATAGCCAAACAAATAGAGGCACAAGTAGAGAAAAAATTAGTGGCATACAAAAAGGAAATGAACAAAGAAATAGAGTCCATCGTAGAGAGACAGGAATCCAAATTCAAACACATAAAAGAAATGGTGCAAGGCATGAAAACAGAATTAGACTCAATAAAGAAAACACAAAATGAGAAAACTCTTGAGCTGGAGAACTTGGAGAAAAGATCAGGAACCACAAAAGTAAGCATCACCAACAGAATACAAGAGATGGAAGAGAGAATCTCTGGAGCTGAAGACACACTTGCAGAAATTGATACTTCTCTCAAAGAAAAAGTAAAATCAGAAAAATTCCAATCACAAAATATCCAAGAAATCAAGGATGCTATGAAAAGACAAAATCTAAGAATAATAGGAATTGATGAAAAAGAAGACTCCAGGCTCCAAGGTCCAGAAAATATTTTCAAGAAAATCATAGAAGAAAATTTTCCCAACTTAAAGAAAGAGATGTCCATAAATATACAAGAGGCCTACAGAACACCAAATAGACTAGACCAGAAAAGAAACACATCACGTCACATCATAGTCAAAACACTAAATCTACAGAACAAAGAAAAGATATTAAAAGCAGCAAGGGAAAAAGGCCAAGTAACATATGAAGGTAGACCTATCAGAATCACACCAGACTTCTCATCAGAAACTATGAAAGCCAGAAGGGCCTGGGCAAGCATCATGGAGACTCTAAGAGATCACAAATGTCAACCGAGACTACTATACCCTGCAAAGCTTTCAATCAACATAGATGGAGAAAACAAAATATTCCATGACAAAACTAAATTTACGCAATATCTATACAGCAAACCAACCCTACAGAAGATACTAGAAGGAAAACTCCAATCCAACGAAAACGAATTCACCCAAGAAAATAGGGCATACAGATAATGTCCCAACAAAAATGAAAAGAAAACAAGCAATGAAACAAGGTAAGATCATCGACTCCATTACAAAAGGAACTAACATGCATTGGTCAATATTATCTATCAATATTAATGGACTCAACTCACCAATAAAAAGACACAGGCTAACAGAATGGTTACGGAAACAGGACCCAACATTCTGTTGCATCCAAGAAACACACCTATGCAACAAAGATAAACACTACCTCAGAGTAAAGGGCTGGAAAAATGTTTTTCAAGCAAATGGTTCCAGAAAACAAGCTGGAGTAGCCATCCTAATATCTAATAAAATAGACTTTCAACCCAAGTTAATCAAAAAAGATAAGGACAGCCACTATATTCTCATCAAAGGAAAAATCCAACAAGAGGACATCACAATTTTGAATATCTATGCCCCAAATACAAGAGCACCTACATTCGTAAATGAAACAATATTAAAGCTTAAATCATACATTGATCCTAATACCTTAATAGTGGGAGACTTCAACACCCCACTCTCATC